TCATAAAATTTGCGCTTAGCAATTTTTAAAGCTTCATCAATTGTAAATTCAATCTTTTTACTTAAAATCTACTACTCCAATATCTTCTTCAAACCTATAGTAGCTTCAATATCTGATTGTAATTTATAAGCAAGAGCCTTCGTTTTTTTTTCTTTCACAATTTTTTTTTTTTTTTTTTTTTTTTTTTTTGTAAAAATATTCTCTGTTGTCTCTTTATGCATAGGATTCTTTTATTGTCATACTTTTTCTCCTCTTGTAGTTTTTTTTTTATGATCCTTCATTATTTTCATCTCTCTTTTATTTTTCTTCTATTAATGCTTCATATTAACTCCTTGCAATATGAACATGCATCAATAATCCATCTAATAGATTATCCCATCTAATTATTTGCCGAATATTATTGCCAATACATTTTAAATCATTTGTAGAAATTTTTTCTTTTTCAATATAGCTCATTGCATTTGACCATAAAGAACTAGAATTTCCTAAAAATTCAAGATTTATACTTAAACATTTGCTTGTACTTACTTCTATTCAACATGTTGATGCTTCCTTGCTTAAGTTTTTAAATGCTTCTTTTGTATACACCTTCATCCCTCTTTTACCAAATTTTGTTTCCATTTCTTTTTTTTTCTTTAAATACATCATACCATCTTTAAAAAAAAATAATTCTATTATATAATGCCTTTGTAAAAACTTCACATTTCCTTCTTGAATGATCTATGCTGTCGTATTGTGGTTTGGCTACCATATAAAAATAATGCACTTATATATCTAATATATAATTTATTATACAATATAGTGAAAGCCATCTTATTGGATTTTAGTTAGTCATAAAATATTGTTATATTACTACTTTGAAGTGGTTAGTTTAAAAGAGCTATTATTAAATTTGATTTTATATTGATAATAATTTATATATTTAAAGTCACTTTTATTATACATTGGTGACTCTTGAAATTTTGTTATATTTCTTTTATTTGGTATTTAGAGCATATATGATCTAAACTTTATAAGAAAAAAACTAAAGAGAAATTTTGGTAGCAATAAAAGTAGTTAAGGCATCTATATGGATGATAAAAATCTCCATTATTATTGGCCAAAATTCATATCTAATGGACTTCAAGGAAGCTACTTGAGGCAATATTAGGAATTTGGATTTTTTTTTTAAGGTCATTCAAACTTAAAAGGCTAAGATCAAAGAATTTAAGTTTTTGGCTATGGTTTTAGTACAAATTTTGGATGATTTGGAGTTTTTATGAAAGAGATATAGACGCTCAAAGTTAAGGTATTGTTTTTGTACCTATTGTCAATATTTTGGATATAATGTACACATACAAAATACAATAAAGAATCAACGACTATGATTGAAAAGAGCTTTTTTTTTGCATATTGAAATCTAAGCTAGGATAAAAGAGTTATAGGAAGTTAAAGTCAATACTTGCAATCTAAGAGTAGTAAGTGACCTAATTTACTAGTGGTTAAGTTTTGACCTATATCTTAAGAAATTTAAAAAGATTTTGACTAAAAATTACCAAAAATATATATTATTATGTTGCTAAACTCTATATATAAATTTTGTAGCATTTGAAGTTTAAATTTTTGAGATATAGAAAAAATAGTGTTCAGGTGCTTGTAAATTAGAGTTTAAAGCACATGCTAAGATTTCTAAGATGTCAGAAAATTTGAGGTAGATTTACAATTCATTTTTTTTTATAAAGTTTAAGGATAAATTCTACATTATCTAATAATTTGAAAAAAAATTGAATAATTGGATCAAAAAATATGAATTTCTAAAGTTTAGAGAAGAAAAATATTTTGTGGGAGAAAAATATTTTGAAAGGATTTTGCTACAATTTGGATATTTTTTGCAAAGTAAAGGGATTTATGGGAGCTAAGACTTTATATATATATTAAAAATAGAGATATAAAGTTATGACAAACTTCATGATATAAAAATAAATTTTTGTAAGAAAATTATGGATTTTTTTTGAATTTATTGAAAATCAAATTCACCGATAAAACAATAGTTATGATTTGGTATAGTAAAGGATGTTAAAATATTTCTAAATGCTTTACAAAGCCTTATGTGTAAAGCTTCTTAAATATAAAAAGATTTTATCAATAGAATATCTTTTGATATTATTATATTTTTTTGGCCTCTATAGTAAAAATACATCATTTATTGAAACTTGTTCAATAAGGTAAAGCTAAATTTTCTATAGCTAAGTACCCAATGTATTCCTAGATAGAAAATCATACCATACAAAAATGCTATCACATTGTATGCACCTATGTACTAAACCTTCTATTATTCCTAATCTTTGTTTTATTAATACTCTTGATGATTGACCCTTCTCTTCAAATTTTTTAAATTTTATTTGCAAATCTTTTATCTCTCATATAATTTCATTGATGCTCATTTCTTCTTTCTTTAATGTAGCCATTGAAGGTTGAATCATAGATGTAAGATTGGTAGTAGGTATATTTACTTGAGATACTTGCAATGGTCTTTGAATATCTACCCCATCTTTTCTCTTTTATATTTTTACAAGCAATCCTACTGCCTCTTCTACTTTCTTTTAATTTGTTTTCAATCCTTTATCTTCTTATTTATCTTTAAGTAAGATTTTCAACTCCTCTTACAACTCTCTATTAGCACCTTGAAGAAAAAGCTCAATTTTTTTTAAATCTAATAATTACCATTCTTTCTTTGATAAATAAAAATATTTCTTTTCAAATTTTCTTAATAATTTTGTTACTAGAAGATCCTTCTTAGGCCTTCCAATTCATTCAAGAAATGATTTTTTTATAATCCAAATACTATCTTCCAAGAAAAATTCATTCTTCAATGCTTGAGATAATTTCTCCCATTAACCTCCAAAATGTCTTATAATAGACCTCACATGATTTCTTATCTCTAGTGCAATAGCCAATTCAAATAATTGAATCATCTCTTTTTCTAAAACATGCTTCAATTCTATTTATTTTACAAAGCACTTTAAATATTTTGTATTGTCTTTTCTTTCAAATTGATTAAACTTATTCACAACCACTTATAATATTTTTTTTGCCATACCTTCTTCGTTCTCTTTAACTTATTGCTATTTTATGAATAAGGCAAAAGCTTCAAACATGCTCATGGAGTTGGAATCAAAATACATACCTTGTCTTCTACTAGTATCTCCACTTGTAGCTTCAATCAAAGTGCCACCTATAGCTCCTCTTTCAACTTTCTTGCCTTCCTTCTCCATAATTGAAATAACCTAAGAAAAATTCCAAATACCTTCTACCTCAAGCTTTTCATATTAAATTCACCAAATATGTAATATTACGTAAAGTCTTACTTAAAAATGTACCATGCACCTATTTGTCGAAGGTAGAAGGAAAATTGCAACAAGAAAATCCTAACAACTCTAATAGAATCTTAAATAAATTTTAATTAAATCTTAATAAAGATAATTAAACTTTAATCAAATTCAAAAGAAATCTTAAAGAAATTATGAAAGAAACATGAAGAAATCTTAAAGAATTTTAAAAAAAATCCTAAAAAAATTCAAAAGAAATCTACAAGAAATTATAAAGAAATATTAAAGAAAATTTAAATAAATCTTAAATAGATTTTAATGAAATCTCACCTTAATTTTAATTAAAATCCTAATAGATCTTAACTAAATTTAAGGTCAAATTCTAACTAAATCTCAAATCCTAAACCAAATCTTAACCAAAATCTAATTAACTCAAATTGATTCTAAAGTAGATTAGAACTCTAATATCTATTGATTAAACTATTAATCTTGCTTAAAAATTTACACACTTTTCAATCTCTTAGTTAAAAATAAGTACAATAAATTTGAAAATAATTGCACTTATCAAATAGAAGAAAAATTCTAAAATCTGCTTGGGTGTTGGCCAACCTCCTACTTCAATTTGAATGTTGAACTTCCAATGCCAACATCTCCTTTTTAAACTATTAAATTTCTCCCAAAATTTACTTAAATTTTTAGAAATTAAGTTTTAAAAATCCTTCCAAAATGAATATTAACTCAATTGATATAAAACCAATATTCAAAAATCTTATTGTAAGTCTTTTTTCAAATTCCACTCTCTAATCTATCAAAGAACCTTGGAGTCACCATAAGTATGCAGTTTTGTGTCCAAGGTCTGATTTTGATCCAAGTTGACAATTGGTCCTCATTGAGTATCAATTCTTAGCTTCTTGAGGTAAATTTTGCTAAAATATACTCCTAATTTCTTCCTATACATGCTTATATTATTTTATTTCTCAATCTAATTTATTTTGTCTTATTTATGGTCCTACAAAATAAATAGAAGATTATTTTGTAAAAAAGTAGCAATAGTATCCTTTAGTTTTACTATTTTTTTAATTATTATCCATTTTTTCAGATAATTTTCTATAATATTTTTAAATAAGATCTTTTATAATATAATATTTCTTTCTTTCTTTCATTCATTAGCCATATTATATCACGACATCGAGAAGAGGGCAAATACCATTGCCTCCTATAGAAGTGGATAATAATAAAAAATTCAAGGTAGAAGAAGTTTTAGATTTGAGGCAATGTCGACTTAGTTTAAAATATCTTATTTATTGACACAAATATAATATTTGTGAATACACATGGGAGTGAGCAAAAAATCTTACAAATGAAGTAGATAAGATCAAAAAATTTCATCAATAACATCCATCAAAATCAAAATGAAGGATAGTAAAGCTTTTTTATAAACAAAATACAATTTAAAAAAGATTGCATTCAACCTTTTATTCTTATTTGGAGTTTTTATATAATTGTGGCATTAAAGAGATGGAATATCAAAAATTAGCTGATTCAACTCAAGAGCCATCATTTGCTGACTTATTAAATGAGACATTGCAATAATTATAGCCTTCAAGCTAATGTAATAGGAATGAAGATCTTCAAGAGCAATATATTCTTCATCAAATTGATGATAAGATTCAATGCATTTGATATCACGACTTGAGAAGAGAGTCTTTATATTTGATGATTTTATTGAAGATAGGAATAATTCGTAATGGTATTAAAAATATTTTGTTTGAGAGAAGTTACGAAGGTCACAATAATAATCAAATATTAGAGTATTCTTTCCTCCCTAGAATAGAACATTATCAATGCTTGAGGGCCTATCATCTACCTTCAAAGAGAACAATGATTAGAGTATGTGACAAATATAATTTACTGCATCTTAAACTTCCTCAACATGTGATTACTATTCATTGTGGAACTCATTCCTAGAAAGGGGGATAATATCAAAAACATATATTTATTGTAATTATTATCTAGGTGATATAAGTAAGTAGAAATAAGTAAAAGTAGATTAATTTTATAATACTTGAATGCTACTTGAATTTTATCTTAATGATATGAGTATAAAATTTGTAATAAATTATAAGGATGCACCTTCAAAGGAAGTGGAATATTTAGAATGATGGATGCAATGAAACTCAGTGAAATAGAATACTCAGGATGGAGGTCATGAGTTTTGTGAGGATTTATGGTAAGTTTTCATTTGAATACCTGATGGAGTCACACCATGCCATGAAGCTGGATTCATCTGGTGTGAAGCAGAGTTGGGTTCAACCAGCAGATAGCTCACTACATAGCTACATTGCTCAGAATTGGTGAGGAATCTGGGGATTCAGCTGCAGACTTGTTGACTTGTTGTTGCAGGTTTCAACAAACTCTGTCCATATGCGATAAGTCAAATATTGTTGTTCTGATAAAATCCAGTTACTCATGCTCGGGCATCTCTGATTTGACCATAAAATCGATTTGACCATAAAAACCTTGGACTCCTGAATCGTCACCTCACCTCCTCATGAACACCATCGTTGAGTAGAAGCAAAGCTGGGATCTCATCTTTTTGCTCTTTGTTAGCTTCTGTGGGAAGCGTCGCAGTGACAGATGAATACACCCGCAGCAATGCCTGATCAGCCTGCTGCTGCCAATTGGTGATGCAAGTGATCACTAAAAGAGAAAGCGCTTGTGTGGTGACCCCCATGATCAGGCCACACCAAAGACCACGTCCTCCCAATTTGAACACAAACGCGAGAACCACAGCGGTGGGTAAACCAACGAAGTAGTAAGCAAGTAGATTGGCGGCTGCACCGAAAGCTAGCCACCCACATCCTCGAGCCACTCCAGACAGAACTCCTTGTGTGGCATCCATGACGTGCATGATCGCAAGCAAGGGGGAAACCCGTCCCACATACTCAATCACTTCGTTCTCATTTGTAAATGCCTTGCTCCATGTATATCGTCCGAGGTACAATGCTGTTGCCATGATCAAGCCTTCGGTGACTCCAAGGAGTACCGCTATAATAACCGAGCCCTTAGCAGCCTGGGGTCGACCAGCACCCAACTCATTACTGACCCGAGTGCTCGCAGCAGCACCAATGCCGAAAGGAATCATGTATAGCAAAGCGGTACCTGTAAGACAAAGTGAAAGAGTGGCAGTCTCCAGTTTTGGATTCGGGAGAAGCCCAGACATAAGGACAAGGCCTTGGAAGGACCAATACTCGAGGCACATCATCAGAGCAGAGGGAACCGCTAGTTTGAAAAAGGCCGGAAGATCATTGAATGATTCCCTCGAGAACGACGTCCATGTTCTCCTAAAACGTGGAGAAAACTTCACGTAGGATGCAAGCAACAGCGTATTTAGCCAGCACGAGATGCCACTTGCGAGCGCCGCACCGCGATACCCCAATCCAAGCTTATAAATCAGCACCCAACAAAGAGGAACGTGTAGAATTAACGTGGCTGCAGAAAATAGCGCCATGGCTAGCACCTCACTCTGTGTTTGGAGAAACTTCACCAATGGCTGAAGAACTACAACTCCAAACAAAAATGGTAGCAAGAATCTTGCGTATACACCCGCTCCCGCCGAGATCTCGGGGTCTTGGCCTAGAACTACGAGGATAGAGCCCGTATTCCACCAAACAATTGCAATTGGCAAGCTTACTACGAACAATACGAGCATTGCGCGCTGCATATAAATACCTAGCATGTGATATTGTTTCGATCCGTATGCTTGTCCACAAAGGGTTTCAAGAGCGCAGGCCATGCCTTGAAGTAAGCTTGTGCCGGACACGCCAGCGAACGAACCTGCAATCGCTGCGCTTGCTAACTGCAACTCCCCCAAGTGACCGATGAACATGAGTGAAACTACCATCAACAAGTACTGGAGAAGGGTCACAGAAACCATAGGCCCCGCAATGTACATTTGATTTCGCAACTCCTTCAATACCCATTCCGACGTGAAAGAGATGGTGTCGTCACGTCTGCTCACTGATCTCGTGACACCATCCGCCAAGGTAATCGTGTGCTCCTGGTGGATACATTCTTCAATTTTCGATTGCAACAATGGTTCGTGCGACGCGCCATTTCTATCGTCCATTTCGGTTGCAACTTTGATTCCCAATGTGGTATTCAACTAAGAGTCGTTGTTACCGGCAACCCCCTTTCAACACCAACACGCACATCCAGCAACATCTGCCATCAAATCCAACAGCAGTCTGTAAAATCGAGAGACAAAATACGAGCGTGTGAGGGAAGAAAAAAGAAAAACAACAACAACCTATTCGTAATCTAGCAAACCACATGCTCGAGTTTCCAAGTGCGATGCAGTTGTCAAAAACAGAAGAATTACACTGACCGCACAATACCCAACTATCATTCTATTTCGGCACTTCACTCTGCCGTGTTCTACGCAAAGACCAAGAAAAACAAGCAAAGAAGTATCCTAAGATGACCAATTCAACTCCAACGATACTTACAATAGGAGAAGCAGGAGCACTGGCATGTAGCCCAAGAGCTTACACCACCCCGAATTCAAGCAGCTGCGAGCTAAAAACCTCATCTACACCTTACTAAAGAACCAACAGAGAGGAAACGGTGAGCAGCAGCAGCAGCAACGCAAAAGAGATGAGCATCCTCATGCTCAGTTGACGCAATTCCAAGAAGAACTCACTCTGCCAAATCACCCGAAAAACATGTATGACAGAGTGTGAGGAAAGACTGCAATTGTGCGGCAAGCGGTGCATCTCCTGGGAAAATGTCACGACGCTGCTCACGACAAAAAGGAGGCACCAGAGGAATCCATGGCCAGATCCTCATACTCTCTAGCTCCCCTGTAGTAGCGCCTCATTGCATTGCAGTTCCTTGTCTTTTTCTATGTCTTTTTTGGCTCCTCTGTGGCGCCAAAACTGGATGGTTTAGACCTAAAGAATTGACTTGGAGATTGTTGCACATAAAACACAGAATATGATTCTGACGTGTGAAATAATGAGAGGTGAAGAAAGAAATTAGTACTCTGGGGATGTTTTGAAGTTTGCTATGAAAGTGCATCATCGGAAGAAGAATGAGTAGATGGAATTTCAATAAAAGAGGTTATGTATTAAACAAAATAAAAGAGGATAGGTATAAGATAAAGACATAAAAAAGTCTACTCATTGGTTAAACATGGATGAGTAAGGGAATGGATGGATGGCAATGTTAGAGGTTGCAATGTCCAATGACATGAGTTTCTGCTAATAATTTTATAGATAGACTTAAAGAGGATGAGGCATAAATTTTGGAGAATAATAAATAAAAGTATTAGTGGTGGATTAAAAAGTTGTAGGCTATACTTAAAGTTACTACTAATTTTGTTTTCTTTAAAGGTATTATTTATAAATATTATTGATCTATATTGATTTCTTTAAAATTTTTATTTATAAAAGTGTATTTTTTTGATATTGATAATTATAATTACTTATTAAAAAAGACTTTTATAAATTTCTTTTGTTTTTAAAAAATAAGTCATAAATTGGTACATGTAGATTATTATTGCATCTAATAGTTTAGATATTGTTAGATGACAAGAAAGAAAAGAAACCAAGGTAGGCATTTCAATATACTTGGTTAAAGTTAGGCTATTTAACATAGATAGATCAATTTGAACCATGCTTCTCAACTTGATTTTTTCTATCTTAAACAACATAATATTATATTATAAGCATAAATTCAATATTTTAGATCAAATCAAGGAAAATTAGATTGTCTAATTTTAAAAATCCAAAAATAATTTGGACTAATTTAAATTATTGTGTATGAGAATAAAAAAATGTCACTTTGGAGATTTAAGTTGTATAGTTAAATTATAACATTGTAAGTAAATATCTTATTCAAAAATAATTACAATATTAAATATTGGTAGTAGATTTTTTATTTTTTTATTTATCTATTTTTTTAATCATCTTTTGCTTTAGAATTGACTTGGATTTTAATTAGAAAGAAAAAGAAGAATACTTGAATAAAAACTATATTAATATTGGAAAGATTTTTTGCTTATTATTGTTATTTTTTTCTATTTCTTACAAATTCTTATTTTGATTGAAAAAAAAAAAGATGACAAGAGAGATAGAGAGAAAGAGAATAAAAAGAATATAAAAGCAAGAAGGAGACTTTTCTTATTAATTCCTTTCTTACTTCTAATCTAGTTTCAATAGTCTATAGTTTTTTTTATCTTTGATAATAGTCATTTAAATTTTTTCTTCTGTATATATATATTCATTCTTTTTATATCATCTTTTTTTTGAAAAACGTCTTATATGTTAAATTACATTCTTCAAGTTCTTGCTTATATCATTGTTAAATTATAAATCTTCTTTCTATTAAGATATAAACTAATTTAAGTTATAACTAAGGTAGTTACATTATAAATAGACAATATCCATCTTTTAATATTACCAAGTTAATATCCATTTTTTTAGAATTTTTGGCTTTTTATATCTTAATTATTAATACACTTTAGAATCTTATAAAATAAGAAAAATAAAAAAATAAAAAATTAAGATAAGTTTCATATATTTAAATTTATTTGGACAATGTATATTCTTATAGAATTTATTTTTTAATATAATTCTCTTTCTTACAAATCTTTTTTTGTAGAATTTTTTTTTTACCATTGATTGCATTGTGAAAATAATCAAAGGAAAAAAATTAAATTCTTTTAGATTAAGACTTTAATTAAAAATTCAGTTATTATAATTAAAAATATTTTCATAAAAATAAGTATTTAAAAATATTTTCTTATTATTTACATAATATGTGTACTCCTAATTCCACACATGCCTTGTCACTCTTGCAATATCATACATCTGATTCTAATAATAAATAACAAAAAATTACTTACAATCAAAATATTCAAAAAAAAAACTCATATCAAAAATAATATTTTACTAAAACATCAACTTGTTAAAATATTAAATTATTTTGGTATAAATACAAAAGAACTAAAAAAGACAAATCACTTGTGTCTATAATAAGTAGATCTAGTATCCAAGTTTTATAGATTTTGATATTAATATTGCTCATGGAAAGATGATGGAATATAGATGTATGTTTCAATATCCTCTTTTATTACAAAATCATCTATAGTGGAAGAGATTTGAAGTGAATGTGTAGCTATATTATAAAATTTAAGAAAAATAGCATAGAAATATAAAAAATGGAGATAATGAAGTTAGTGTTTTAATTTTGCTAATAATATTAATAATTATTTTTCTAAAAATAGTAGGATATATTACTTATATTATCTTTTTTTGGTTAATAGTGATGATTCTTACAACCATATCCGTAAGTAGTTACACAATATACAATAGCGAGAAAAAAAAGTCATCAAGTACAAAAAGTGGATTTGAATTTTGTCTAAGTAATGTTTTCATATGTAATTATTTATAGTATGTAAAAATTAATTAAAACATATAATATATTTATAAAACTTCATATGTATTAGAATAGTTAGTAGGTTGATTTAAAGAGAATTGATGTAAGAAAATTTATTTTGAAGTTTATCTATTTTGATTATAGTGTTTAAATTATATAAGATTTAGATATTAGGTATAAAGTTTTAAGAAAAGATTGGAGCTCAAAGATAAAGATTCAAACTACTAAGAAGCTTATTTGGAAGGATGAAAGTAAGGTATGGACAAATGAAGAAAAGAGGTGAAGGTCTTCATCTCTATTGGTCAAAGGTCATCACTAATAGGCTTTCAATATACTGTCCATGATTGTAATAAGAATTTTGGCAACTTCAAAAGGAACATTTTAGAATCAAAAGTAAGGATTATAAGACTTAGGATTTGACCTACAATTTGTATATAGAATTTATAGGATTTGAAGTTAGAATAAAGAAGTTATATCCATTTGAAGTTAAGGGGTCTTTTTAGACATATTATTGTTCTTTTTAGGATATGAAGAGTTTTACAATAGCTTTTGGAAATCAAAAAAATTAATTTCAAGAAAAATTTCAAGACCTATACCTTTTATGAAAGAATTATTATATTTGGAGTTTGTATGAAGGAATTATAGAGAGTTGAAGAAAACATAAGTAATTCAAAGGTACGTTTATGTATTGATGTAATTACCTCTATATAGACATTTTGATATATAAATTTGGTGTTTTCTTATCTTCAGACTTGATCGAGCAATTAGTAATAATGAAAAGCTCAATGCTTTCATAAATAAAATTCTTTCTATTCAAACATATTGGTACTTCTACTAAGACAGCCTTAAAGTACTAAATTTTTTAACAAGTCACAATGAGAGATCGAAATCCAAGGTTTGCATTATCAAGTGGGATGGGTGTCCAGGATTTATTTAGGAAATTTATAGAATTTATAGAAGAGAGAGAATAGATGCATGGAGAGGATGGAAATACTATCAAAGCTTTAGAAGTAGTGGTTGATAAGGTTAGAAGGTTTGATGGGAGGAACATCATTAAGTTCCTAAAGATTTATACATTTAAAATGGAAGTGAATTAAGTTTAAAAAATAAAGATGATTACCACATTTGATTAAGCATTCATACTAGAAATCAAAAGAAAAGATTCAAAAGTTGTATAATAAGACTATATCATAAAAGAAATTTGAAAAATTCTTGAAAGCTGAATTTTTTTGAAGTAGATTCAGAAAGAATAAAAAAAAAAAACTTTTTTGGAGTAGATTAAGCAAAGACTAAGGAATCTAATGACTCCAATTAAAATAATCAAGAAATATGAGACTAAGTTTGGATGATTGATATGGTAAAAGAGGTAGCTCTTGAAAACAAAGAAAACTAGGTTATTCTTGTAAGCAATTGATGAATACTTAGAGGATAAGTAAGTTTGATATGGAAGACAATGCTTTATTTAAACATATTGAGGCTATAGAAGAACATCAAATAGAATGCACATCTATGGAATTTATGGAAATAAAGAAGAATACACAATAAGCATGTATATATTGAAGAAAAAGAAATTAAAAGCTATAATACTAGGATCAATAAGGTTGTATTTAAGAAAAGTATGGAATAAGATGACTCTTACTTCCAATAATCTTTATTTATAGTTGGAATCTTTATCAATAATCATATTTATCCTTTTAAGTTACATTTAATTAAATCCTAAATTCTTCTTAAGTTAGCTGATATTTAAAATTCTAGCTACCATCATACTAACTTATTTTAATCTTTTTTTTATCTTTTAATTACAAGAGAATTATTATAATTTAACTCTAGATAGTGACAACTATATAAGATCTTGCTGAACTTCAATACTCCCATTTTGCTAATTGTCAAAAGGCTTTCAAGCTTAATGCCTCTATCAACTCATGGTATCTATTCTTTATCAATGTTTTTATAAGCACATCAACAAGCACGTCTTTTATAAAATAATATTTCATGCCTGTTATTCCATCTTCAATTTTTTCTCATATAAAATGATATTGAACATCAATGTCTTTGGTTCTTGAATAATACTTTGGATTCTTTGCAAATGTAAGACATCTTTGATTATCACATATTATTAGACTTGCTTCTAATTATACTAGTCTAATATCTTGTAAGAGTTGTCTTATTTAACATGCTTCTATTATACAATGACTTACTATCATATACCTTAATATCTTCTTTACCATTGTCCAATGCAAAGGTCCTCTCTTAGATATGTATTGGCTTAAAATACTTAAACTAAATATAAGATCTACTCTTATCGCTACTATTGCATGCATAAATGCTACCTATTGATGTCTTGTATAAAATACTTTGCATCTCACTTTCAACTTGTGCATATTCTTCATCTATG